CGTCGTGGGCCGTCTTGGGCGCCTATTGGGCCGCCTTGGGCCGTCTTTGGGGTCGTCTTGGGCGCCTCTTGGTCCGTCCTGGGCCCGTCTTGGGGCCCTGATGGGTGCATCTTAGGACGGTCGGAGACGAAAAACACGATAATGCCAAACATTTCAGTTTCCCAAAGGGAATGGGACAATCTTTGCGTCTCGGGGCTGGTGCCGTCGTCGGAGGCTCCTGGCCTGCCTTGGGAGCCCTTGGGGCCGTCGCAGCGGCCTCTTGAGCGGCTCGGAGCGCCCCTGGGGCCGTCGGGGCGGCCTCTGGAGCGGCTCGGAGCCGTCTAGTGGTCGCGGGAGCGCCCTCTTGAGCGGTTCGGCGCCGTCTGTGGGCCGTCGAGGCGGCCTCTGGAGCCTTTCGGAGCCGTCGTGGGGCCGTCGGGGCGCCCTACTCAGCGGCTCGGAGCCGCCGGAGAGCACTCGGTGCAGAAACCCCTCTCGCACGCACTGTTCCCTGTGTTGCGAGCCCGATTGGCTTCGCGCTCTGGCGCCCGCATCAACGGAGGAGAGCAGCGCTCCCTATGCGGGCACTGATGGCGGGCGCTTCCTTCTCCTTGGGAATCGTTTGGGGGCCTCTCGGGGATTCTTGTCGGCCTCCTGGGGATCTTTTGCTCCCTTGGACTGTCTTGCAGCCTCCTGGGGACCTTTTGGGTCGTCTTGGGTGCCCCTTGGGCCATCTTGGGGCCGTCTGAGGCCGTCTTGGACGCCTTTGGGGCTGGCTTGGGTCCGTCTTGGGGCCGTCTTTGTCCGTCTTTGGCCGCTCTTGGGGCTGCCTTGGGTGACTCTTGGGCCGTCGCGGGCGCCTCAGGAGCGGTCCTGTGGCCGTCTTGGGCCGTCCTTGAGCCGTCTTGGGCCGTCTTGTGGCCCTCATGGGGCACGCCTGGGGCGATCTTGGGGGCGTGAATTGTCCTCTTGGACGGTTTGAAAACGAAAAATATAAGAATTGCGAACAAGGTACTTTATTTTTGCTTGCGCGGGCTCTCTCGGGACTCTTCTTGGAGCCCACTTGGAGCGTTTTGGGAGCCTCTTGGGCCGTCTGGGGGCCATCTTGGGTCTTGGGCGCCTGCGAGCGCTCTTGGACCGTCTCGGAAGCCCTTTTGGACCGTCTTGGGCCGCACTTGGGGGGCCTCGGGGTCGTCTCGGAACGCTCGTGGGCCTCCTGGAAGTGCGCGGGGGCCTGCTGGGGCTCGCAGGAGCCCGCAGGGGCCGCCACGGGGCTGGAACCCCTCGCCCCGACCCCCGTCCCTCTCGAACGCGCGTGTGCCTGCAATGTGATAGAGACTAGTGTTGACCGAGGCCTGACGGCCGCGAAATCTGTCCGAGATGGCACATAGGGCCAGGGCAGATACGTTGCCAAAAGACTTTCGTGGTGATGTTGGGCCCGAACTTCGCGTCTGCTGTTGCTGCCTCAGGGTGCAGAGTGCTGTTTCTTAGTCACCTTGCCAGCTGACGCGACCTGCGACTTGTGAGTGGATCGAGGGGCGTGAAAGGAGGAGTCAGGGTCGAGGGTGGGGGAGGAAGCGAGGAGCGATCAGCGAGGAGCAAGAAGCGAGAAGGGGAGAGCAACGGTCGAGGAGAGAGAAAGAGAGGGAGAGAGAGAGAGAGGCGAGAATGGATGAAGGAGAGCGGAAGGAGGAAAAGGAGGCCGACGCCAGTAGCCAAGAGGGAAAAGCGAGGGAGGGGCCATGAGAGAGGTGGGAGGAGCGAGGGGGAGTGAGCAGAGAGGAGCAAGGAGCGAGGACAGAGAGGCGAGGAGCGACGAGAGAGCAGCGAGGAACGAGGAGCGTGGAGCACGGAGCGAGAAGGGAGGCATGAGAAGACGCCAGCACACGAAGGTATCTATGACCTCGGCGAGCGTGTGGCGGAACATCTGGTCTCCTCTCGGTCGCCCGTGGGGCTCTCTTGGGTGGCTGGCACGGTCCTACAGCTCTCTAAGGTGTCTTGCTTCGGAAGCCTCCTGGAGGCGGTTTCTGGAATGTCCTATGGGCCTCCTGGGGCCCTTTTAGGGCCTGACTTGGGCCTCTTGGGAGCCTCCTGGGGCTTCTGGGGGGCCTTCTTGGAATCTGAGAGGCCTGCTGCCGGCCTCAGGGGTCGTCTTGGGGCGGAGCGCGCGAGATGTCGGTTCCAAGTCCGCCTCTTGGGGCCCTCTTGCGTCCCATCTGGGGCCGTCATGGGCCGTCTGGGGGGCCCCGTGGGCCGTCTTTGGGTCCTTTTGGGCTCTCGGGGGGCCCGCTTTCTTGGGGTCCTCATGGGTCGTGGTGGACGGCGACTTTGGGGGCCTCCTGGGCCGTCTTGAAATATAGGAAGCCCGAGAAGGCGAGAACGTCGAAATCCTTCAACACACTGGGAAAGCACTGATTTTGGCCTCTCGGGGTCGTCTTGGGGGGCTTCTCGGTGTGGGTTCAGGAACCAGGCGCGATTTGATACCAATCCCAAGCTCCTCTCTACTGATATTTGGCTCCACCCGCCCCGGGCGGGAGTGGTTCTGCTTATCCAGGAAGATTCGGTGGCGAACGAAGGGGGGAAGTGAAAAGGAGAAGGCCTTCTCAGAAGGCTCGAAAGTCCTCCGGCCTTCGGAACAGTTGTTTAAGCCTTCCCCGAAGACACAAACAAATTCTCAGAAGGCGGGCGGGTTTCTGAGAAGTTCCGCCGCTTTCTGTCGAACGCATCTACAACTTCACACAAGAAAACTGCACCTTGTTGCGGGGACCAGGGGTGGCAATCATAATTAAATTTGGCGCGTCGGTCGGTCTGGGTGGACGGACACCGCCTCACGACCTACGATGGAAGGCGATGGTCGCGCCAAAGACGTTGCGTGCCAAACGTGGAAGCGATCGCCATGTTTCACGGCGAAGCTTGGCGGCGGCCTCAAGAAAAATGATAACGCGAACAAGCGTTTCACCCTCGGGAGGGAAATCCGGCACGAAGAAGAACTCGAAAACGCGTGGGATCGGATCGCGAATTTGTTGCTGGGGCACAGGCGGGGGAGGGAAGCGGGCTGCGCGAGGTCGAGGCTCCCAGGCATACGGCTGGCTTCGCTGAGCCAGGGGATGTGGAATGTCGGCGGGAAGCAGCCCAGGGGACGGGGCCTCGGCGATGGGCAGCGCGGGCAGCCGATGCTTCGCGAAAAGGGGACACGTACAGAACGGCACTTAGCGGCCGGGGCGCGGTACACGTTGGGAGCGCGAGCGGCGGCACCCGACATGCACCCCGCCCCGCTGGCTAGGTGTAGTTCTATAAGTGCTCCGTGTTGAGTGGATGTCTCTGGCGAAACCACCACGTACAGAACTACACCTAGTGCCTGGCTAAGTGTAGTTCTGAACGCGCTGGATGTCTCGCGCGGGGCGATCACGTACAGACCGGCACCCAGCGAAAGGGTCGGGGTACAGGTCGGGTGCGTCGTCGCGCCCCGCCCGCAGAGTCAGGAAGGCAAGGGCCGCTGAACCCCCTGCCAGCCTCCGGGCGGAGGTGTCTGAACGTCCCAGGGCTTCCCGGAGGAATTCCAACTGCGGCCTCCGCCCACATCGCTCCCACTATCAGAGCATCTCGCCTGGTCAGTATGTTCCCCATTCCCGACCGTTGCTTTGCCATCCCCCTCCCCCGTTCTTCCTCTACCTGCCACCCTCCATTTCTCTGGGCGTTTCCCAATTGCCGCTGGCCCCTGCGTGGCGGCAAACGCCTGCGCCGCCCCGCAGCTGAAAGACTCACCTTGCGCTCATCCTCCAATCCACTCGTGAAGCGCAAGTCTTGATTCCACACTGACGCTGGCAAGCGAAGTCGGGGCCCTGGCAAATCCGACAGGCGCGATCGGCCCCCTCGAATGACGGGCGAACCAGTACGTAAAACGATGTCGCAAAAGTGAGTTTGGAATTTCGGGATCCGCGCAAGAAGCTAATCCACTCGCCCAAAGTGTAGTTTTGTGCCTGTCTGATTCTGAGAAGGCGTTCTCCTTCTCACTTCCCCCCCTCGCTCGCCGCCGAAAGATGGCCAACAGCTACTGTATAGAAAACTTGGAGCCAGTGGCACAAAAAAACACCATTCTGACTTGCTGGGTTTCGAGAGCCCGCTTCTGCCCGCCTCCGTGGGAACTCTTGCTGCGCTGCGCACGCGGAAAAATATTCACCACCGTCGAAAAGAACGAGGTCAGCAAGCACGAGAGAGGAGAGCTGCTGCATGTATTGGCGGCGGAGCCCGTGGAAGAACTACGGACCAACCATGGGCGCAGACGACAGGACGCACGACCAGATTCCCAGCTGGAACGGCGATGCTACGAGGTTCAACGACTATTGCGAAGAAGCGAGGTGGCATCGAGCCGGTACGGTGAGGGCATTGGACAAGGAACCCTTCGATAAGGAATCAAGAGCCTGGAAGCTGGTGAATCTCCAATCGTGGCTCGGCCAAGGAGATCACCGCCGCCCTCATCAGAGAAGGAGCCCCCCCAGGGTCTGCAATCCACTGGGCACATTCCTTCACGAACGCCTCCACCGCATGAAGACGGCCGAGAGGCAGCCCTTGCGGCCCTCTGAAGCCGTCCTCGAACGCCTACCGTCACGGTGCTCTCGTGAGCCGGCTCGGCGCCCTCGACGGGGCCAGCTTGGCCCGTCTTAGGGGTCTCCTGGGCCGTACTTTGGCCCTAAGAAGCTTGAGTGGGCCGTTCCGAGGCGCCCCGGAAACCGTACTGGGCCAGAAAGCCTGGATAGCGAAAAACGTTGAACACGCATCAGGTGTTCCAAGATTCGCATGCTGTCCGGGGCCTCTCTCGAAGCCTCTTCTCTTCGGGTCTCATCCTGGGGCCACTCTGAGGACCTCCTCTTTGGCCTTCTTGGGAGCCTGTTGGGCCACCCTCGAGGGCCCCCCATCGGGTCTGTGAATCTTCCCGGGGGTGGCCGCGCCAGGCTGGGCCGATCTTCACATCATTGCTTTCCTGCCTTCTGGCACGAGCTACGTCAAGCAATGCAAGAGAGGTGACGTCAGGCCTGAGCTTCGATTGCCGCATCTCGCTGACCAGAAACAGGGCCCACCGCCACTGGCACGCGCTGATCCCAGCATTGTAGCTGACGACGCTGGGCTCCAGCTTCGCCTCGAACATCTCGCTCAGAAGTGACAGGGCCTGCTGCCACTGTTTGCATGTCTGACACGCGCTGATCCCGGCATTGTAACTGACGACGGTGGGCTCCAACTTCGCCTCGCAGATCTCGCTGAGATGCGAAAGGGCTTGCTGCCACTGTTTTCCTTTCCCGCACGCACTGATCACAGCATTGTAGATGATGACGTTGGCTTCCACTTTGGTTTGAGACAGTTCGCCGAAAAGCGACAGTGCTCGTTGCCACTGTCTGCCTTTTCCGTATGCACTGATGGCCGCGACGTAATCGTGTGGGCTTCTCGCACATGATTGAGATGCTTCGCGGGTCACCTGCAACACTGTGTTAATTACCGTGTGTTGTCGTTCCATGCTTCTTTATAAGGCTGCACCACAGGAATCAACACACGGTCGAGGTCATCTCTGGAAGTCCTGCATTATACGAGGTACTGGAACAACAAACGGAACAACAATCATGGCTGAACCACAACTGTTCGAGCCCAAAAGAGGAAGAAGAGTGGAGGAAGAGGACAAGGAGGAATCAGATCAGTGCGTCACCAGTCGGTCTCGCACAGAATTGTGACAATAGCTGGGCTGAAGCGGATCTTGATACGACAAGGTACGCAGGGTACAAAGAAAGCGGGCGCATTGGAAACATGTATGATGTTTCATCTAGTGTGCGGAAGCGGATACTCTCAATGCTGGAAGGACAGAGGATTTGAAGGATGAGGAGGAGCAGAGGGAGAGGAGGAGGAGGAGGAGGAAGAGAAGGAGGAGGAGGAAGAGGAGGAGGAGAAGAGAAGAGAAGAGAAGAGAAGAGAAGAGAAGAGAAGAGAAGAGAAGAGAAGAGAAGAGAAGCCTGATAGCGAAAGATACGAAAGTATCGTCCCTTCGCAAGCCGAACTGAAGTGCGACAGTCCTGCATTGAACTGCTGCCTAAAAAGCCCAGGCAATACCCTCACCACGACAGGAAAAAGGAGGGCGGGGGGAGGGAGCAGGAGCAGCCAGGAGGGAGGAAGAGTGGAAAAGAAGAGAACGCACAAGAGAACGCACGGGAAATGATACGGAGATGGCATTTGATAAGGAACCGTTGGATAAGGAATCCAAGGTCTGAACTCTGTAAGAGCGCGCCCGTGCGGAACTCAATACTAAAAGGGGGGACCCAGCTTCAAGCTACCCCCCCCTTCCTTCAAAAGGGGGGGGGAGCTTCCGAAGCTACCCCCCCTCCCTTCTGTAAGGGTTTCTAAGCTAGGGGGGCCCTGGCTCACGGGGGGGGGGCTTCGAAACTATTCCCTCCCTACCTCCCTTTTCCGGACCAGAAAGTGAGCCCGGGTTTCCCTTTCAAGGGGAGGGGGCTTCGGAAGCACCCCCCCTCCTTCCTTGTTTGGTCTGGACACAGGGGGGCGGCTTCAAGCCACCCCCCCCTCCTGTGCAAAGGGGGGGGGCTTCCGAAGCTACCTCCCCCTCTCCCTTCCAGGGCTCTGGCAAAATGGCTGAATCCCTGACGACAGGTGCGCACCGCAGTGCTGGCGAACGAATTGGAGAATAACGTTGACCCCTGGTTCGTTTTCTTGTTTTCTTGTTTTCTCGGCCCCTGATTCGTAGTCTCGTTTTCTCGGGCCCTGATTCCTTTTATCGTTTTCTCATTTTCCCGGCCCCTGGTTTGTTTTCTTGTTTTCTCGTGTTTTCGGCTCCTGGGTCGCGGTCTTGTTTTCTTTGACCCTGGTTCGCGTTCTCGTTTTCTCGTTTTCTCGGCGCCTGGGTCGTGGTCCAGTCTTCTCGGACCCTGCTTCGTTTTTGCGTTTTCTCGGCCCCTGGGTCGTGGTTTTGTTTTCTCGGACGCTGGTTAGTATTCTCGTTTTCTCGGTGTCTCGGCCCCCGGGTGGTGGTCTCGTTTTCTCTGACCATGCTTCGTTTTCTAGTTTCTTTGTTTTCTCGGCTCCTGGGTCGTGGTCTCGTTTTCTCGAACCAAGCGTTTTCTGGTGATCTCGTCCCCTGCGTCGTGGCTTCCTCGGACCCTGGTTCGTTTTCTCGTTTTCTCGGCCCCTGGGTCGTGGATCGTTTTCACGTTTTCTCATTTCCTCGGCTCCTGGGTCGTGGTCTCGTTTTCTCGGGGCATGGTTTGTTTTCTCGTTTTTTTTTCTAGGCCCCTGGGTCGTGGTCTCGTTTTCTCTGTTCTGGTTTGTTGTTTCGTGTCTTGTTTTCTCGGCCCCTGGTTCGTTGTCTCGTTTTCTCGGGCCCTGATTCCTTTCATCTTTTTTGTCGTTTTCTCGGCCCCTGGGTCGTGGTCGTGTTTTCTCGGAACCTGGTTTGTTTTCGCGTTTTCTGTGCTCTTGGGTCGTGGTCTCGTTTGCTAAGACTTTCATTGCGTCGCCCAAGGGTGTCTGAAAAGTGGGTTGACCCGAATAGCCCGAAAAGCCTGAAAAGCTTGAGTTGCGAGGATGTCTCGAGCGATGGCGCCCGAGTTGCGCGGATGTCTCGAGTGGCGAACTGTTCGGGCTTTTCGGGTCAACCGTGCGCCTATTTGGGTTATTCGGGCTACTCGGGCTACGCTGGCCAGAGTTGCGAGGATGTTTCGAGCGGCGGCGCCAGAGTTGCGAGGACGTTTCGAGCGGCGGGCTTGTCTTGCTTTTCGGGCTACTCGGGCTACGCTGGCTAGAGTTGCGAGGATGTCTCGAGCGGCGGCGCCAGAGTTGCGAGGATGTCTCGATCGGAGGGCTTTTCAGGCTTTTCGGCTTGTTCTGGCTTTTCTGGCTTTTCGGGCTACTCGGGCTACGCTGGCTAGAGTTGCGAGGATGTCTCGAGCGGCGAGCTTTTCGGGCTTTTCGTGCTACGCTGGCCAGAGTTGCGAGGATGTCTCGAGCGGCGGCGCCAGAGTTGCGAGGATGTCTCGCGCGGCGAACCATTCAGGCTTTTCAGGCTTTTCGGGCTAATCCGGTTGACCCGAAAAGCCCGCCCGATCCGACTCGCCCGACCCGACCCGCCCATGAAAGTATGACGTATTTGGAAAACACACACGCGTAACCGTAACGCGCGGGTCGGGTCGGGCGAGTGTACTCTAACGGGCGGGTCGAGTCGAGCGGGCGGGACATTAAAGTATGATGCATGCTAAAAAACGAGCTCGTGTAACTCATGGGCGGGTCGGGTCGGGCGAGTCGGATCGGGCGGGCTTTTCGGGTCAACCGGATTAGCCCGAAAAGCCCGAAAAGCCTGAAAAGCCTGAAAGGTTCGCCGCGCGAGACATCCTCGCAACTCTGGCGCCGCCGCTCGAGACATCCTCGCAACTCTGGCCAGCGTAGCACGAAAAGCCCGAAAAGCTCGCCGCTCGAGACATCGTCGCAACTCGGGCGCCGCCGCTCGAGACATCCTCGCAACTCTAGCCAGCGTAGCCCGAGTAGCCCGAAAAGCCAGAAAAGCCAGAATAAGCCGAAAAGCCCTCCGATCGAGACATCCTCGCAACTCTGGCGCCGCCGCTCGAGACATCCTCGCAACTCTGGCCCAGAGACGCCAAAGACGGCGAAAAGCCTTAGGACTCATTTCCCTCAAGACCCATTTGCTTGATGGCGAGAACTCCCTCCCACCGCCCCAGCCTCCCGCTTGGTCGCCGGTGGAAGACATACGGTGGCCTCTGGCGCGATCGGGTGACATCGCCCTTGTGGTTGGTGGTTGACGCCTGAAGCCCGCGACCGAGTCCTGTGATGGCCCTGGTCCGGGCTCCTCCACCCCCCCCTCTCGAGGGGAGATGGCGCAGGAGGAGCGAGGGAGACCACGGGCGGGGAGCCACGTCGCAGCCTCTGTCACCTCGCGGAGTTCTCCGTCGAACACCTCGATCCTACTCCCCCAGGGAGCTCCTCAAGAGGAAGAGGAAAAGGGGGGTCCCTACAGTCAAGCGGGGCCTATGTCGCGCTCTACAGGGGACAGAACGACTTGGGGGGGGGGTCGTCGACGTTCCTGGTCGGATTCAAAGCAGTCCTGTGGCACAATACGCTTGAACTCTGCTTGGCTCTATTTCTCAACGGCAGCTGGATCGTCTATGTGCTACCTCTGCTCTGCAACCGCCTCTCATCTCGGAGTCTTGTACACTGTGCGCGGGTATGTGACTCTGGATGGTCTGGCCATCCACGTGACTTTGGAAAGAAATCCGCTTCGCCGTCGTCGGGCCAGCAACATGGGCAAACTTACCCATCCCTTCTCCTTCCTCCCTGGCCTTCCGTCTCCATACCACCAACTTCCTGCTCTTCCTGCTCCTGCTGCCAGGTCCACCTGCTCCTCCTCCGAACCGTCCCGCGGGCGTCAGGGGTCAGGGGCTGCGTCG